TGTGTTAAATAGGATTAAATATTTTGTATTATCTAATGAATCATACAGATATTGTGTCCGACATTTATGCTATAAAGTCACATCTGTCGCATCATTCGAAATGAATAAATATGTTACATTTCATGCAACTGTTGCACATACTGCTCAGACTCATAAACACTTCGTGCACGTCATTTACTTGACGGTGCTAATTCCATCCTTTAGATGGTAAGCTAAGTTAATATATGGTATAGTATATTTCAGATTAATTTATGAAATAGTACATAGTATAGTATATTTCATATTAGTGTATGAAATTCTTTAATTTTATAATTATAACATTTTTAGTCAGAATAGTGGGCATAATCGAAAACTTTCCAAGCAATTTCAACTCTATGAAATATTAATTCTAAAATTTCAACTTTCTTCAATTCGAATTTTCTCTTCGTACTCCATTTGTAACTTACTACTTACCTTTCACTGCTTTTACTACTTTTAAATATATTTTTATCTTTAGGCAATATTAACGATTCATTTTAATGCATTTATTTTAATACAGAGTTGCTGTCTAAACATTAGAGAACTGCAGAACACTTCCATCGAAAGAGACCACCGTGAAAGAGAAAAAAATGTATGTTACAGAAATAAGTATTATTGTTTTAACAGAAGTATAACCATTATTTTTTACGATTTAATGATATCATATAATGACAATTAATGGTAATAATTATCAATCAAACAAAACCATTGACAATAATACATGTTAGAGATCAAATAAGATAGCTATAGTACTGCAAAGTGTTCAAAAATCCAGTGCCTATAATTAACTGTTGTTCATTCTGTAGAAATATTTTTGAATATTCCTGAATGTTCTTGTTCCACATTGACTTTCAAATCTTTGTATATTGCACGGACTTTTAACATTTACTAATTCTAACAATATCTGTTCAATAAATAGAGATTCCAGAATTTGAAATCAGCGGCAATTTTAGGTACGAGTTATTACAATTTGATCTCTCGTGGGCGATATCTCATATTCATATTTGAACACTGGATCTCGTTTTATGCAATTTATTCTAAATGCTGCTTATTCACGAAATGTTTCAGAAACATTTATTAAAAAATTTTTCAGGAATGTTTTAAAGCTTTGAATATATGTATATTATATATGAGTGTTGCACTAAAACTGGTTAAGGCATCTTCACTTAAACTCAAAATAGAATTTAAACAAACAGGGCATAATTTATTACCTTTGTACTGAAAACGGTCAAAATTCCATATTTGAACAAAGAAATTCATTCATTTCTATTTTCCAATTGGTCTATATATGTAGATAATCAAGAAAATACTTGTTGAGTTTTAAGACAGGAATTATGGTACCGATTCTCCAAACAGCAAAAATTCTTTGGGTCTGACATATGTCTGTAACATGTGTTGCATAGGTTGAGAAATGCGAAAAATGAGGGGATAATCTGATTAACAGATTATGTATTCTACCAGGACTAGAATTTTTATATACTTGAACGTTACTAAAAATTCGTGAAAATTAAATTATTCCTCAACAGAGTGAAGGACATTACATATATTGGCCTCCTTTTCTTAATTCTTTATTAATTATTATTAAAGAATTATTAAATCATTAAGAATTATTAAATATTATAAAATTATAGAAATTACATTAATTATTAAAGAATTATTAAAGATTATAAAATTATAAAAATTATTAAAGAATTAAGAATTATTAAAGTTATTGAGATCACTGAAATTTTGCTGTTCTTTAGTGTTAATTATGTTATTTATAATGACGAATGACAATAAAAGATGAAAGTGTATAGTAAAATATAATTATGTCAGTTGTAAGAATATGTAATCAAAGATGATACGATCCACTTAAAAATTTTAGTGTGACGTGGTCATTTCAAAGTCATTGCAAAGGCAAACGAGTAAGACATGTGTCCCTCGATATCATACTTTCCCGAAATATTTTTTCATATATTTTATGTCTCCTCATGTATTTGAGCGTTTCCAATTAAAATGGAATAGTGCATGCATATATATAATATTTAACTATGTATAATTGTTCTTAACAGTGAACCATCAAGAGGACCAAAATTTCCAGACGACCAAGAAGAGTCATAAATCTGCGATCAAAAAATGTCGTGGGTACCTCCAAATCTATCAAGCCTCTGCACACCTAATTCCACACTAACAGCCTGTCAACAATCTACTCTTATGTTTCTCACATTCGTCGCTAATCTTTTCAGTGATCCTGAAGAATCGTATCCCAATGAAGAAATAGGTAAATATAGATGAAAATAATTCAATTATAATATAGCTAAATACAAATAAAATAAAATAAAATATTGTGTAGCTAAAAGGCCATAAATCATTAAAAAGTAACATAATATGAAATTCTGTCAATACGAATAATTTCAACAATGGATTACGAGAAAATGACTAATGATTAGTCTCCTAGATCGTCAGACCTTATATTTATTTATTTCTACTTACGTGAAAATATTCTTCTTTCTTTCTATGTTGTTCAGCGTTGCATCGACTGCGAAGTCATTAATGACGACGGTGAGATTTAATTATTTTATATGTATGAATAGGTGTTTGTGTCTTTGAGGTATTTTAATACTTTTTGGACGTCATTTTGCGAGGTGAGGTTGATGTTTGAATTTATTCCGTGTCTCCCTCTTTGGGTTTTTGTGATGACACTCATGCAGAATGTAGTCGACTGTTAAATAAGTCGCAGAAGAGCGATGCGGTTTTTTAAATTAGGTGTATGTATGTGCTTAGTGTGTTCAGTTCTTTGGCGAATGAGTATATAATTCCTTCTTTTCTGTTGCCACTGTTTTGTGTTTGTTCATGTTGTGTTTGCTTTTAGCTGCGATCCAGATATCGTTCCAATATCTTTTTATTATTTTTTTGCAGTTGTTTATTTGATCTTCACAGGGGATTGGAACGCAATTATGTTTGTTAGTAGATGAAAGTGGTGTAGCTTCTTTTGCCGCTACGTCGAGCTAAAATCCAGATGATGGTTGTTTGGTTGTTATCGTGGTATAGTTATCTCTTGTATGGTGGTTATTAATTGGTTTCCCTGGTTATACGTTCTCATTAGGGATTTCGTTACGCTCATATCGGTATAGATAACGATTTGGGCTTCGTTGCTTGAGTGCACATACCGTAAGACTTTGAGAATGGCGTAAGCTTCAGCTGTAAAAATAAATGATGGAGAGATTTTGTGTTATTTTAACTTTGTTTATACTAATGACGAATATCCAACGTCCGTTTTCGACCCGTCAGTGTAGATTTTGCTGTAGTCATATAGTTGTCATTTTTATTAATTCTAAAAATCGGACCCTGTAATCGGTTGGATTGAGGATTCTTTCGGGCAGTTTGAAACTGATATTTGTTGGAAGTGCTTCTATTGTTCACGGGGCATTTGAAATGGTTTGCATTCGATGGTGAGGGATATTTTGAAGACGGTAGTTTGGAGGATTTTAATAAGTCTGATATGAAAGGGAAATAGAAGTTTGGGGGCTTATTGCTACAAAATGCTTTGTATCTATTGGAGATGTTATTGTAAATAGGGTTATTTGGAGTGTTAATGGTAAGTATAGCAATGGATTGCTCTCGTTGTCGATCTGATCTTGGTATATATGAATGTCATTATATTTGTGAGGTATGATGAACTATTTTTTTTTGTTGTTGTTTAAACTTTCTTCATATTTTTCAGCTAATGTTCGAAATGTCGTGGGTTTCAGTTACAAATTTATCACCGTCGGTTTCCAGGAATTGAATATTAATGGAAGATATTCTTTGTATTTAAACTTAAAAATTTACAACAGAGAAATGTTTATGCAAAAAGAACTGGTCATAAGAATCAAAACTGCGTGTGAAGAAGTTTGACAAATTTGATATGAAGATTAATAGCCTTGATTTCATACTACACTAGGTAGTGTAACATTCGAATTGAAATATAAACTTGTTTAATATTATTCGTTTACATAGAAATGTTCCTAATATGATGCTACAGAATATATCATACGAAAAATTGCAATACTAATACAAAAGATAAAGATCAAACAGCTTACTTGTTGTACGGTGATACAGTTTATAATAATTATAAATACATCTATTATTGTTAACTATAAATATATTTCACTTTTCATATATAATTCATAATTATATTTTATTATTAGTACGTGTATTATACAATTATATATTTTATTATACAATTAACGATTTTTTAAGAGCAAGAGTACGACTTTATTATCGTTGGAGCTGGATCAGCCGGATGTGTGCTTGCAAACCGATTAAGCGAAATAAAGCAGTGGAAGGTACTTACAATTAAACATTTTGTGTCATTATTAACCTGCGAATATCTGTGGTTTTTGAGATTTCTGAGATTACAAAATAGTTGAAGAAAATGAAAATTAAATAGGGAATATATATTAAAGATTATAAGCATACTTCAGATTTTCATGCGAATTCGCTTAGAATTGTACTCATTGTTGTTATTTTGTTGTTTTCGAAGATACATATTCCAATATGTGATTTTATAATATATATAGTAATAAGCTATTGAAGGAAATAATTGGCTAATTGCTTTTATTCCAATCTTATATTAGAGAACTTGAAATTCAGGAATTTTCAGACATTGTTGATATTTTCGTCCAAAGCTTCTGCACATTTTGAAACAGACTACAAATTATTGCTGTTTAAAAACAAAATTAATTTTGTTAGAGATGAAGATTTTCAAACAAGATTTTTGTTACAGATGAAAATTTTTCGGACATTAACACATACTAACAATTTATGTCAAAGCCTCTAAAATTCCATATACACACTTTCAGATATTATTACTGGAAGCTGGTATTGAAGAACCAGAGGTAGCTGATGTTCCGGCTTTCTTCTCTATGTTAGCAGGAAGCAATATCGACTGGAAATATCGCATGCAACCTGATCAACATTCCTGTCGATCAAGAATAGGAAGAAGTTGTGCGATGCCAAGGGGTAAAGTACGTAGATTATATTACGAGATATTACGATACTGTAATTTTCTCCAAGAAATTATACATTATCTGACTGTTGTAATACAGAGGTACACAAATACATTCGAAAAAAGAAGATAATATTTCAAGATGTCATTGATTTTATGGATACGATACGGCTCTTACGGATATATTGTAGAAATTTGTAACCAATTTGCAACAGATAAAAAATGGAAAATTTTTCTTTTATTTCACTGTAGCAGAGTTCTGTTGAAGTTTCTGGTATTTGGGCTTTTTATTAAAAAGAAATTTATTATCCTATTTGCAGGTGATGGGTGGCTCCAGTACTATCAATTACATGGTATATGTTCGTGGTAATCGAAAAGATTATGACGGATGGGCAGATGCAGGAAATCATGGCTGGAGCTACGAAGAAGTTCTACCATATTTTCTGAAATCAGAAAACAACATGGACCCAGAGGTAATAAATTAAAATTCATGTTATCAACTACCAAAATATTAAAGTGTAGAAAATGTGCTCTTCTTTTCCTTCTTCCTCCACTTCTTATGATTACTATTATTTTGATTAATCTAATTATAATCAGAATGAGTTCTACTCA